ACAAGCATGGTATTCCTGAAGAAGAAATTATATACAGAAGCAAAAGTCCTAGACTCTTTAGAGGATTCTTGGGTGATGAATTGCCTAAAGCAGAGAACATGCACAGATGTTTTAGTGCTTTGTGCAGGTCTGTATGTTTATAAAGTACAGAATAGCTCCTCTGGAGCCTGCATGTCTGCTTCATTTGCACATCTCCCTAAAGACAAGAAGTGTAAATCTTCCACAAGGCTGCAGAAAAATACATGCTTAAAGTAACAGGAAATCTTAAAATATCCTGAAGCTCTTGAGTGCTGATACACCAGATCTGCAGGGAAAATCCAAGATATCTTTTGTGTTTCTTTTTTTTTTTTTTTTAACTTAACTCAAGAACACTTCTGAGTTCCCAATAAAGATAGGTGTCCCAGCTTTGTCCTGACTTCATACTGGAGTGAGACACACCTGTGTGCCAGCAACTAAGTCCATGTGCAGCCAGAGAGTTCAAGGAGAAAGTCAATGCTATATAGCCTGCTCAGAGCAAGAAAAGGAAGAAGGTTCGGGATCCCTCTGTGTTGGGACCTGAACAGAGCAGCGCGCTGAAGGGCAGCTCTACCAGGCTGGGTGGCACCATGGAGAGAGAGCGAGCTTCTGGGCAATGGAAATTTCCTTCTATTACCCATTTTCTTCTATTACACTGTCAAAACCCACTGACTTTAAACTAACAGGAAGAAGCAACGCCTAGTACACTGGTAATCCCCAAAACTGCACCTATTCATCTTAAAAAAGGTATATTATGGTATTTTATGCATATAATATTGCTCATATAAGAGTATCAGTATCGTTTACATATTTTAATTGCATTTCGTAATAATCTTCATTCTTCAGATGCCTAAGCTGAAGCTAAAAGAATTTGAAACCTTCTCACAATGGCCACGTAGTTGCACTGAGCTTAAACGATGAAAACTGTAGAAGTGATGGAATGAAGACCAAAACAGCGACCATAGATTTTACAGGAAAACTTGGACACTAGGGTTTTTAATGTATGAAACATAAAGCCTAGAAAACCTCAGAATAGTCTGAAGCTCATGACTCCTGTCATTGCAGTATTCTTTAGTCATTGTAGCATCAATAGGAAGCTTAAGAACATATATATGAACATATAAAAATAATGGTTTTCAAGAAGGGACAGTCATGGCACTGAGAAAGTACTGTTATTTTCTGTAAAATGAATACTGATTTCTGCAACATAAAGTACCAGTATAAAAATGTAAAGTGGTATCTTTAGAAAACGTGAGTTTAAAATGAGGCTCCTAAAAGCATTATATCATAACCTCAATATAAACAACACTTTTCAGAACTGGTGAGCATTAGTCTCGAATGATTGCAAAGCAGTCCAGACTTCCCACTCTTTTAGTTGCAGGTCTTCACAACAAGCAAAAATTAAGGCTGTAGCCAGGGTTAGGTGTATAAAATCAGAGAATGAAAATCTGACATACTAACTGTATCATTCAAAAAAAAAAAACCAATATCATTCAGCGTAAAGTGAGTGAAATAATGTTTCCAGGAATAATAGCCAAAGAGAACCCCAAGGAAGCTGGTAAAGGACTTTGAGGCATGTATGTGGCACTACTCAGAAAAAGAGAGAATCTCAGTTTAGCCAAATAATGAATCCAAAGAGAAAACAGAAATTCACATAACAGAGTTGTGAATTCTAACTATAAAATTAACCTGTGGGATTATACTGTCTTATTCAATAAATATTCAATTCAGCTCTCTCACATCCTCTCCCTTCTACGATTACCCCAAGAGTGTCCCTTTTGATCTTTTCATCAAGGCTATATGTAAGCAGATTCTTTCTAAAGTTTCATTCTCTACAACACAGATTCTTTCAGACTGCTAAAACTGTCACCCAGGCTTGTATCACCATGCATCTCAATTACTGCAATGTTCTCCCTCAACCTGGACAAATGTAATCTGTCATCTTTGCTATTCATTCAAAATACTCCTGTGAAATTAATTTTCTGAGCCCATCATCTGCCTGTGTCATTCCTATCTATGCATCTATCCACTGGATACCCTTCCCCTACCTCATCAGTTATAGCTACTTACTTTCATTGTGAAGAAATTTCAAAGTCTAATTCAGCCCCCTTCAGCCCTCTCCAAGCATTTCTTATTCTGTATCCAACAGCTCATTACGCTTGTCCTCTGTGTCTGACTTGTTAAATGCAAGGATCTTTGTTCTTCTTTTTGTGCCATACGTCCCTGTAAACATCCCCGAATAAATAGTATGAGACAAATGAAAATACTACGTTTATTGTCTGAGTCCAAGATTAGAAGCACCAAGGTTCTGAATTCAAAATGCTGTAATGGTAAAGATGGGTGAATAATTTATAGCATGGAATCTATTTAATGAATTTTGCTTAATTTTCTGTTTACAAAACAGTGAATTTGATATTCAGAAGTACTCACCAAATCATCTTTGCAAATTATTCTTGCCATATTACTTAAAAACAAACAAATTTGAAAATTGATCTGTTTTGATGTATATATAGGTCACATGATAAATTTCTGTAGCCTAGTTACAGGAGTACATCTTAAGAGGTGGGCTGTGGGTACAAATACTGGTGATTACATATCTAAAATTCACTGCCTGACAATAACTTCTAAAATTATAGTTGTGGTGGTGGTGATCATTCCTAGCAATAAACTTAGCTATATCAGAATATCATCTGAAACAAATGAAAGAGATATAAACACACAAGCTATTTTTATTTTAAAATGCAAATGCTTTTTCAAAAGAATTGTCATTTTATTTTAAGCCTAATTCTCTAAGGCAAAGAAAAAGGGTTCATTGCCTGAATTTTGTCTTTCTATAATGCTCAACTGAGTCAGTTTCATTTAATCCCACAGCAAGTTTTTTAGACTTCTGCTTAAGAAACAAATGAAAAAAAGATTTTGGGGGAGAAAGAAAGATACATAGAGCTCCAAAATAGCCGCAGTGCACACTGCCTTACTCATGGGTGGGCTGTGGAGGGAAGCAAGGGACGTGTAAGGAAGCTCAGGAGACATGGGGGAGTAGGGACATGGAGGAAAATCCAAGTTGAAAGGATCCAAAAAAGAATTGGCTGTATTGAGGCAGTAACAGTGGAGAAAGAGTGTTAGAGGTGTAAGACATTCTTCCATAGAAAAATGGGTTTTGTTTATTCCTCTGCTCACAGAATTACATGAGAGTCTTAACTTTTTGGAATGTTTATTCCTTTTCTGAATGCACAAATCTAATCTTGCCTATCTCAGCAGCCGTCATCTTATTTTACTGGTCAGGACACTATTTCCATACAGTAACACCTTTCCATTTAAAGTGGCACAAAGCTAGGCAAAAGGCAGTAAGCCATGGTCTAAATGATACCATATTCATGACTTATGTATAAATATTCCTCCTTAGTGTTCTCACAGGACTCAGCCAACCTTCCTTCCAAACAGGTCATAGTGTTTTACATACTTTACTTCCTATTCCCATGCAACCATAGTTTTCAACAAAGAATGTCCTGACTGCCTCAAAACAGTTAACTAAAATTAATCATCTGGGAAAACACTAACTACTCCCATGTACCAGATACAGCATGTGAAACAGGGTCACTAGATATCACTCTTGACTGTGGGTCAGAAGGTCCTCGAGTCATGTTCTCAGAGCTGGCTCGAGATCCAGTAAAGTAAGATCAGATAAATACAAACTAAGATCAAACTTCCCATCTTTTCTGACTATATCACCGCAGCAGTTTTCAAATGAGGGTTGGCACCTTCCACTGTAGTCCTCTCCCAGTGTGGTCTTTGGCTTCTGAGCGCTAGTTAATACAAACACCTAGCCCAGGAGCACAAAACCTATTTACAGTGTGATCTTTTACTTTGGTATACTGTCCTACTAACCTATATCTAAACCATGTTCAGTTCTATCTGTGGTATGTATTGTAACTCTTCAGACACAATTATTATTAATGTGGGTAATTAATATTTTAGATGCCTTTTAAAGTGTATTAGAGGCTAAAAATGAAAGAGAGAGCACTCTTGTGAAGACTTTTTCGCTATAGCCTATCAACAAATACTATTTGAAACAGTTAGAAAACTGGTGATTTAGTTTGCAAGCCTCAGACAGAAAACAAAGTCAATATATAATTTTACAACTACTTTTTTTTTTCTTTGGTGCATTCAGTTATAAAAAGAAATTTGCTCTGCTTTTCCTATCACAAAATTAAAGGTATTCCATATACAAAACATATTCACTGTAGATTTCACAGGATAATTAGATAATATCTTAACTGCATTTATTAAATTCTACTTCCACTCTTTTTTCTTTCAAATACATACTGGACACCAAATTCACTGAAGAGAAGTGAAGGTGATGAAGTCTGTAACAGAACTAACACATGTGACTTTTTTCTGCAGAGCAGTAAAGGAGTATGGCACCCCAGTGCCATGTCCCACTCACTCCATTTACTATGAATGGACATCTGCTGTCCTCTTCCTGTTTTTCAGTGGAAGTTTAATTCTCTTATAACACTTTTTTTAGTGAATGGTCCGCTTTTTATGGAAAATTTGAATTCTTTCAGGGGAGAGATAAATGCCTAAACCTTAAACCATTCAAGTTTCAGCTGAAACAGAAAGTATTTGAGTGCCTCACAGGAGCTGCAGCTTGGGCTAGGATCATCACTGAGCACTTCATCGCCCTTAGGACACTGTGGCTGATGTGTCACCTAAAGGAAACCAGGCTATAATACAGGAGGTGTACGTTCCTATACGAAAATGAGAATATGAGGCATATATTCCCATGGGGGAACCATGATGACAGCTCAGCATCAAAGTATTTGATTTTCAATGAGAATATTTCAGATGTATTTTTTTCACACAAAACAAAAATATTGCCTTTCCATTTTTATAGGGAAGGTCTGTAATTTAGGAAGATTGCTACTGGGATTTTTTTCTATCTTAGTTTCAGTTAGATTTTGCTAACTTAGGACTTGAACTATTACCTTGTAGATATCCAGGAATCCACACTGATGGTCAAACCGCGTGTAGAGCTCGTTCAGCATGCTGATGACCTGCATGGGCGTGCACTGCGCACAGATGGCAGTGAAGCCAACGATGTCCGAGAAGAGCATGGTGACATCATCAAATTTCCTGGCCTGAACCTGCTGTCCCTGCCACAACTGCTGAGCCACTTCTTCAGGGAAGATAGAAATAAGAAGATCTACTGTTTTCTTTTTCTCCTCTTCCAGGGCTTGGTGTGTGCATTCTAGCGTTGCCTTTAACTTATCCATTCGTTTTTTCAAGCCATCCTGGGCCTTTGCTTGCTCCCCAACCAATATGACATCGCGAGTAGCATCATGGATAGGTATGTCTGAAAGATGGAGGCCTCGGCCCATCAGTTCATCCAGCTTGTCCACACAGGGGGAACCCAAAAACAAAATCGAATTTGATTCTGGCACATGAATCATTTGTCCTTTAATTTCCATCACCTGCAAAATAAAAATAAAGTTTAGAAAATGAAAAATTAACTCATAGATGTGGATCCCATTCTGTTTTCACCATCCTTCCTCTTCAGCTAAAATGATAAATATAAACTGTAGCCTTGTCCTGGTTACGGCTGAGATGATAGAGTTAATTTTCTTTCCAGTAGCTGGTATAGTGCTGGGTTTTGGACTTAGTATGAGAATAATATTGATAACACACTGATGTTTTTAGTTGTCGCTAGGTAGTTGTAGTGTCTACACTAAGTCAAGGACTTTTCAGCTTCTCACGCCCTGCCCGGTGCACAAGAGGCTGGGAGAGCACAGCCAGGACAGCTGACCCAGGCTGGCCACAGGGATATTCCATACCATATAATGTCATGCTCTCTATATTTATAACTGGGGAAGCTAGCTGGGAGGTGGGATCGCTGCTTGGAAACAGCCTGGGTGTCAGATTGTTTTATTTTCCTTTTGCACACAGTGAGCAATTGCATTTGTGCATCACTTGTATTATTGTTGTTATTGTTATTATTGTTATCATTATTCTCTTCCTTTGTTATCCTATTAAATTGTCTTTATCTCAACCTGTGAGGTTTTTTTTCATTCTCCTCCCCAGCCCCTTGGGTAGAGAGGGATGAGTGAGCAGCTGCGTGGTGCTCAGTTACAGTCTGGGGTTAAACCACGACAAGCCTTTTGTACAGAAGCCTCTTGCACTCACCTATTCAAGTAATGAGACTCACATAGTCTGCTCACCAAGGAGAGTCAGAAAATGGCCTATTTACTATACTGACACAAAAGTATTCTCAAATCAGATATTTGATTCTATTTCAACCCAATTAAATAAGAAAGCAACAACGATAATATGTATTTCTCAGAATGATGTGTAAATAATGCTTCTAAATTTCGCTCCTGGCATGTACCTGGCCTCAAAAGCAAATTCCAGAGTAGCTCCTTCTTTGTTACTTAGCTATAAATTATAATAAGCACAAAATTAAAGGGAAATTACAACTATCTGAAAGCAGGTTAGTGAAATGGTGAAGTAGCTACCGTTCTTTTTCAGCAAAACAGCTACTAAGTCAAAATTGGCCATGTTATAGAGAAGTCAAATAAAAACAGACATAAGAAAGAACGCCATAAAATAATGAATGGCATTGAAAAAGTGTACCAGTGCTCCTATTTCCTATTTGCCTTCTCATATGTGCAGCAGAGTTGAAGGCTGACATTCCGTTAGAGTCTGCAGATTTCTTGGTGATACAGATTCATGTAATTTGTATTTGCAGAATAGAAGAAGGAACAATAGGAGAGGAGCAGCAGGTGGTTTGTCACACTGGTTTATAGATTTTGCATTTGCCTGTTAAACAGCTAGATGTCTTGAGTGCTGCCCAGTGGTTGATACCAATGAGGCCCTGGCTTGTTGCCTCTTGCTCCATGGTGGCAGCCAAGCACAAAACTACCAGATTGAAATGGACATTGAAAACCAACTGTAATGATATATTTGACATTTGGGGCTACATACATTCTGATTTTTATTAACTTACTCGGGTCACACAAAAGTAACTGTCAAATACTGTAAAGGTACATTTTTCACCTGACTATAGTATTTAAAAAACAAACAAACAGAAAACTAAGATGAACATGTTTCTTTTAAGCAGAAAATAATTAAATTGGATAAACTGGATCTTTTTGTAAATACAGCCTGCCATAGCTTCTGCCATGAAAAACAATCATAAACAATGTTTGCATTCCGGGACTGCACAAACACCAGGGCAATGCTGTGCTAGGTGATCCAAAAAACCCACAGTCCTTACCCCAAGGATCTCATGGTCAAAACAGGCACAAAATACAAACTTTGTGCATCAAAGCACAGTGTTAGGCACCATAATGCCTTAAATCTGTATTTTTCTATTCCACACAATCCACCGAAATAAAAAGGTCTCCTCCAGCGACCCTTTCTTTCATCATCTAGGCATTCCCTCAGTCTCACATGATTCACTTTATCATTTAATCCTCCTTCTATCCATAATCCTCCCAAGCAAAATAGGAAAACCTCAATCAGAGAATCCAGAGGTGTCTGTAATAATGAAGTGATTTAACTGTCCAGAAGCCTGGAAGCTCCTGCTGAGCTGACAGCTACTCCTACATGGTACTTTCCATGTTTGGGGGAGATGTTGGGAAGCTCCTTTTTCTGTTAGGGATTTCTTACATCAGATAATACGCTGTCATTGCAGATCCTACGGTGAATATGGGGACTGAGCCTATCCTGTCCTCATGCCCCTCTGCCTCCATACCCCACCTGCTAGCAACCCGGCAGATGTAACTTCTGATGTCAGCCTGGGAACTCAGCAAATGAAAGTAAATTAAAGTAATTAGAATTGTCATTTTTCCTAATTTATATTCCCACACACCTACTATTTACTAAGCCTTGTTTCCTCAACTACATTCTGGGACAGAGATCTCTGTGAGAAAGCTAATCAGCTACTAGATGGCAGATTTAATGCTCCAAGACTAATTGTTCTTTTTAATTTTTAAAACATATGGCTCCTTGCTCAAAACATAAGGGAAATAGATACTTTCTTCATGCATGCAGCCTCATGCTTTCAAAGGGCACATACAAAATTGTTTTAACTCTGAATTACAAATTGCCAAATGTGAAATACATAGCATGTAACTCTCTTCTTATTTTGTTCCCCTTTGCCAGAGGTTTTTCTGCTTTGTGTTCCTAGAACTTCACTGGTGTGCAAAATAAATGTGTCTCATATTATCGCTTCTCTCTTCCACCTCCAGGTGAAAATAAGGTGTCAGCTCAGGAGGAGAGAGTGTGACCACAGACCCTGGCTGAGCCAGCCTGGCTTGGGGGTGGACTGCTTGTCAGCAAGGCAAGGCACCTGGCTTGGAGCCCTGCTTCTTCTGTTATCCTGCTGTGAGACTAGAAGAAAATTAACACGTCCCTCTGTGCTCCTGCTTCGCCTCTGTCAATTTGAGGTGTTAAACTCTTTGATGTGATCTCTGTCCGTGTGAATATATTGTGCCAACCTTCCCCTGGTGGATTCTTCTCAGGAAACACTGATCGAGTGAATAACGTACTAAACAGGCACTCTGGAGTCCTCTGCTCTGCTTCTGGGTAACCCCAGGCAAATTATCAACTCTGAGTGCTTATTTGTCCTTTCAGCACAGTAGGAACAATGGTATTGACCACCCTGTAACACACTTCAAGATTTATGTGTGAGAAGCAATAGAAGACACAGACAATCCTGTGAAATGCCTAACTAATAATAACCTGTTCTTCTGCCCAAGTGAGCTGAGCCCCTGCTTCAACATGGTTGAGAGTTTCTAGGGTATTTTTAGAAACTTTTGCAAAGATATTCTCCCTACACAACTGCTTAGTTTCCTGAAAGTGTCAGAGGTTCAGTGCTATTTCAGCTTTATCCTCTGAATATTACTATCACTTGTTCTGCTTAACAGGAATTGTTGATGTTTCCTGTCACTCCTTTCATGTTAAATTAGTGATTCTGATATCCTGCTCTCTCTTGATGACTGAGGGGTTTGGTTTTTGTCTGAAACTGGCCTGCTAGTCTCTTCCAGTTGTCAAATCAGGGAACTGGACAGCAGAAGCAAAGCTGCCCCAGCTTGCCTGGGGAGAAACACTGAGGTCTTGTAAAGTACAACAGTAGAGAAGAGCAAAGACCACATCGCTTTTCTCAGTTTTTGCAAAGCCCTTTCCTTTCCAAAGAAGTTTCTGAGATGATTCAGACTCTTTATAGAGGACTTAAGTCTGCAACTGTGATCCAGCATAACCTCCATCTCTTTTCTTTGGACTCTCTTGCTCTTATATCCTTCTCTGTGTCTTACAGTATAACTGAATGAAATGGGACATCAGATTTGCCTGAAGCTGGCCACAGCAAGTCACACTTCGGGGCATCTCTTCAGAGGTGGATTGCTTTACACCTGGACCATAAGCCTACAGGCAATCAGGATTACATCATCTATCTTTCTTGGAAGCAGGGAAAGATTGAAACGTTTCTGTCATCAGTTGTATTTCTTTACATTTCATTGCTGTTCTGTCTCTAATTATATTCTCACTGAATGAAATGAGAATAATTCCACTGTTTTCAGAGAACATTCTCCTGATCTACAGTGGTATAAGAAAACATTTTGAAATGAGCAATTACACGTCATATTTTATGGGATTACATTTCTGTGAAATGATGGTGCAGCCTAAGTAGCTCTAGGATGAAAAAAACAAACCTATCACTGAATTTTACTTTCACTGCAAACCCACTACAAAGAAAGGGGAGGAAGCAGAAGAGGCCCTGCTTCTCAGGAACTCTTTCAGCCTCTCTCCCCAAAGACGCATCCAGGGAACACTGACTAAAGCTGCTGTTTGAGAACATGAGAGAGTCTCCTACTGTGCTGTGCACCAACAGCTACTTCATTAAGTACACAATATCCAACGCTCTGCATGCTCTGGACACATGCCACCCTAGGATTAAGTATGGATCAAAAGCTTATGAATCAAATGCCAACTCCACTGCCTCGTCTTTAAGGATGGGGAAAAGCCTCATTTGTTGCACTGATGGAAGACAATACTTCTCTATACAAAGACAGGTGTTTTGAAATACTGACTGAGCATAGGTATACATACATTCTGGAAAAAAATAAGGGAAATATGAGACAATATTTCTGAGAAAAAAATGGGGATTTAAAGAATAATTTTCTTCATCATTAGGCCAGGCCATGTGTTCTGTGGCCTCTGCCATCCACAAATTTTAATGGAGCTGCTGCTTTGCCTTTGACCAGTACATAATCCCTCCCAAACTGTGATTATATCCTTCTTTTTTTAGGGGTTTTATTGGGAGTGGGTTAGGAACCTTACAGTGCTAGGCCACACTTTCATGAACAGTTACACATGCATGCTTGACTTCATACAATGAACAAATTCAATGAGAATAAACAAAGCTGCTTCTTTCACAGGTCCACAACTATTTAGAGGACTGGGAAGATTGGGGGGA